ACTTCAAAAAAAAAAAAAATATATATATATGGTTGTGTTCCAACCAACCTTTACTTAGGAACGCTCAGCTTTGCACTTCATAGAATTTTCATCTGCTGTAACTTTGACTTTTTAAACCTTTAAAAATGTAAAATCACAACAGGCAGCATCTGACTTGGCCACCACACGGGATGCCCCATGACATAGTTCACTTTGGGCCGCGGGACTATTTCTGCCTCAAGTGTAAAATAATTGTGTGTGTGAGTGTGTGTGTGTGTGCATGCATACACACCCACTTCTGGGTTAAAGGATAGCAGCCATCTGCATCACAGCCACTGTATGGGAGGACAGCTGTCCTGGGTTCCCTAACCTGGGTCAGTCCTTGAACAAGAGACAGCCTTTGCAGTGGACAGTTGACTTTGGAATTCCTACCAGCACAGCTGATCTGAATTTCCATCTCATGCCACCAATCAGCCAGGGTTCCGGTTTCTGGAACATAATGATCAGTTGCCTTGGATGTGGTCACACAATATTGCAGATACTACCGGCAAAATACAGAAAGCCTCACTTTACACTGGTTTGCTCACTGGCCACCCCATTTCACAGCAAACATACAGTCTGTAATGTCTCTCGTTGAACCTAGTATGTGGATTGATTCTTCTTCCTTTAGCTTTTTGCTCAGTATATAATAATAACACATACTTTTGCTTCCACATTATTTAAATGCTTATCGTCTCACTTCAAAAAACTGCATTTTTGCAGTCCTGGTCATACTGATTGTAGTTTTGAATTGTACCCTCTTGTTTGCTCCGTATCACTGCAAAATTTTATATTTTACTGCCTGAGAATTTCCATTCAATTCTCGTCTGTTTTTCTCACTACAGAACTTGAAAATCAAAACACCAGCTTGATGGATTTTCTTGAAGACCCTCATCTAGTCCACAGGAAGATATTCTTTAGAAGCACAGAATTTCTATTTCTTACAAAAAATACCCATGGCCACGACACGCTAGAGATGGAATTCCCCCCCTCCCAGCTCCAGGGCACATTTAAAAAAAATAATTTGCACATCGGGGCGCCTGGGTGGCGCAGTCGGTTGAGCGTCCGACTTCAGCCAGGTCACGATCTCGCGGTCCGTGAGTTCAAGCCCCGCGTCAGGCTCTGGGCTGATGGCTCGGAGCCTGGAGCCTGTTTCCGATTCTGTGTCTCCCTCTCTCTCTGCCCCTCCCCCGTTCATGCTCTGTCTCTCTCTGTCCCAAAAATAAAAAACGTTGAAAAAAATTAAAAAAAAAAAAATAATTTGCACATTAAATGATGGTGAACGGTGCCAGCCTGAACGGGGTGGATGGGTGGCAGGCTGGGAAGAAGGAAGTATTCAACTCCTCTTGCAATGTACACGTGTGAGCTTCAGTGCATATGCCCGCTGGGAGGTGAAGGTGCAATGACGTTCTTCCCGGAGCTTTCCCAGGAGGGGAACCAGACGGACATCCAGATCCACAAGGCTGAGAAGTGGTTCAAAAAGGGGAGCAAGATGTTACGCATCAAATACGTATTTGATGGGAATGCAAGCTGGTGCAGCCACTCTGGAGAACAGTATGGAGGTTCCTCAAAAAACTAAAACTGCCCTACAACCCAGCAATTGCACTTACTAGGTATTTACCCAAGGGATACAGGTGTGCTGTTTTGAAG